GTTTCATCTTCAATGCCCTTGCTGATGGAAGGAGGTTTTCACTCAAAATCTCACGATACATGGCCCCATTCATTCTTTCCTTTACACGGATCAGTCGTCCTGGTCCCTTTGCAGAAAAACAGCCCCAAAGCATGAGGTTTCCACCCCCATGCTTCACAGTAGGTATGGTGTTCTTTGGATGCAACTCAGCATTCTTTGTCCTCCAAACACGACGAGTTGAGTTTTTACCAAAAAATTCTATTTTGGTTTCATCTGACCATATGATATTCTCCCAATCCTCTTCTGGATCATCCAAATGCACTCTAGCAAACTTCAGACGGGCCTGGACATGTACTGGCTTAAGCAGGGGGATACGTCTGGCACTGCAGGATTTGAGTCCCTGGCGGCGTAGTGTGTTACTGATGATAGGCTTCGTTACTTTGGTCCCAGCTCTCTGCAGGTCATTCACTAGGTCCCCCCCTGTGGTTCTGGGATTTTTGCTCACCGTTCTTGTGATCATTTTGACCCCACGGGGTGAGATCTTGCGTGGAGCCCCAGATCGAGGGAGATTATCAGTAGTCTTGTATGTCTTCCATTTCCTAATAATTGCTCCCACAGTTGATTTCTTCAAACCAAGCTTCTTACCTATTGCAGATTCAGTCTTCCCAGCCTGGTGCAGGTCTACAATTTTGTTTCTGGTGTCCTTTGACAGCTCTTTGGCCTTGGCCATAGTGGAGTTTGGAGTGTGACTGTTTGAGGTTGTGGACAGGTGTCTTTTATACTGATAACAAGTTCAAACAGGTGCCATTAATACAGGTAACGAGTGGAGGACAGAGGAGCCTCTTAAAGAAGAAGTTACAGGTCTGTGAGAGCCAGAAATCTTGCTTGTTTGTAGGTGACCAAATACTTATTTTCCACCATAATTTGCAAATAAATTCATTAAAAATCATACAATGTGATATTCTGGATTTTTTTTCTCAATTTGTCTGTCATAGTTGACGTGTACCTATGATGAAAATTACAGGCCTCTCTCATCTTCTTAAGTGGGAGAACTTTCACAATTGGTGGCTGACTAAATACTTTTTTCCCCCACTGTATCTACCAACAGGTGCCCTTTGCGGGGCATTGGAAAACCTCCCTGGTCTTTGTGGTTGAATCTGTGTTTGAAATTCACTGCTTGACCTTACAGATAATAGTGTGGGGTACAGAGATGAGGTAGTCTTTCAAAAATCATGTTAAACACTATTAGTACGCAGAGAGTGAGTCCATGTAACATATGACTTGTTAAGCAAATTCTTACTACTGAACTTATTTAGGCTTGCCATAACAAAGGGGTTGAATACTTGACTCAAGACATTTCAGCTTTTCATTTTTTATTAATTTGTAAACATTTCTAAAAACATCATTCCACTTTGACATTATGGGGTATTGTGTGTAGGCCAGTGACACAAAATCTCAATTGAATCAATTTTAAATTCAGGCTGTAACACAACAAAATGTGGAAAAAGTCAAGCGGTGTGAATACTTTCTGAAGCCACTGTATACTAGGAGGCCAGACACAGACACACACACCCACACTGTTGATAGATTGAGCATATGTTCTCACAGAACAATTAACTGTAACAGCAAGGTGATATCTGAAACTCATGAATGGTATGTAACACAGAGAATAGAGTAGGCTACAATATGGAGAACTCATGCTTGGTAATAATAAATGTATATACGACTTGCATACTTTGCACAAAGTTCAATTATATTCGACTCAATCCATTGGCTTCATTTCTGCCATTCAGTGTCTTGAAGTCAATACAACAGGCTATGCTAGCTGAGGTTCATAGCTAGCCTGCTAGCTAATATTGACATGTTTAACATTGACATATAAAAGTGATATGTTATTTTATGAAACCAACCAGGGACACCAACGATTTCTGCCACTTTCTTCCACGCTGCATTTTTGTTTGTGTATCTATAAATAAAAAGGGTCACATCATAGAGTTCTGGGAACCCTATCACGGCAATAACCGATTTCACATCCATTGTTCTTATTGTAGCAAGCTATGGACACATGTGGACAACAGAACTTGAATGGAACTAAAGTTTATTATTTTTGACAGAACGAAGGACATTCTAGCAAGACCCCTACACCAACCCCTGTGATTGGCCATCGCCCAGCATTCACCTCTGGTGATTTGCATAGAGGGATAGTAGGCGTGTATGTGTGAGAGAGGATGGAGAGAGAGAGAGAGAGAGAACTCAGTGGTTGTCAGCGGTGAAGCTAGAGTAGAGTGGTTGACTAGATGGATAAGAGAGAGAGAGATCCAGTCTCGCTTTAGTCACCAGGAAGAGGACGGAGTGGAGTGGAGTTGCCAGCCCTAGTAGCAGCACAGGGAGAATTCTCAGAAATAAAATATCAACCATCCCTTCCATCTCAGCATCTGACCTTTGAAGTGTGTGTGTGACGTGTTGTCTCTGCTCTCCAAAGATATGGTGTCACACAAACAGTCGGACAACCTGAGAGATGCTCTTTTCTATTACATTGCTATGCAAGTGGGCTTGAGAAGTACAGGTACAGTGCCTTCAGAAAGTATTCACACCCCTGAATGGCACACAAGTATTTATGGTTTTGAAGTGGTAGTGACGGCAGTAGTAGTAGTGACGGCAGTAGTAATGTTACTAGTAGGGTTTTCAAAGGCTATGTGTTAGTTATAGTAACCTATTTTGGGGTGGTTTGTAGGTGTGGAGTTATTATAGTGGGCTAGTATAGTAGGCTAAGTGAGTACTATATCATCATAAGCAATATGTGTTTTTAAGCTCAAAATGTTCGTTTGAACATTCAACATTTTTTGTGGCAGTGATTTCAGTTTTGAATGTTGAAGTCTGCATTCCGCCATTGAAATGAATGGGGATACAACCAGCTTTATAGTTTATAAAGTATGAATGGTAACAAAAACCTGTGTTGAAGCCATCTAAATTGAGCCAGTCAGCACATGTCAACGTTGGGGTGGTGTTTGTAGCTGTGGTCAGTAGTTGTGTGGTTGTGGTCTGTAGTTGTGGTCAGTAGTTGTGGTCTGTAGTTGTGGTCAGTAGTAGTGTGGTTGTGGTCAGCAGTTGTGTAGTTGTCATTAGTTCTGGTCAGTAGTTGTGTGCAGTAGTTGTGGTCAGTAGCTAAGTGGTTGTGGTCAGTAGTTATGGTCAGTAGTTGTGGTTAATAGGTGTGTGGTTGTGGTTAATAGTTGTGGTCAGTAGTTGTGGTCTGTATACAAGTACACTACTCCAGACCGGTCTGCACGTTATAAAGTTTAAACTAGTTTAAAGACTAGTTGTGACTGGAATTTTTCCCATTGAAGTCTATGGCACCTGAAATGCATTGGGATTCATGCAAATATGGTTGTAGTAGTAGTAGTTTCAAAACGTTTATTTTTTATTTTTTTTACAAGCAACAGTACCGGTCTTCACATTTTTAAGTTGTTTTGCTGTTGCGTAGCTTTAACAGATCATGAGGGGTGGCGAATCTAAATATTTCCCATTGAGGTCTATGGAGCTTTTATGAACATTTAAAACTGTTATAGTTCCAAAAGTATAAATGGTATCAAAAAGCTGTATACAAGCAACCTATTCCAGACAAACGTTTTAAAGTTTGAATGCCGTTTAAACCACGTTTTAAAGTTTGAATGCCATTTCTAGCTTAAACGGTGGAAGACTAGTTACGACCAACATTTTTTTCATTTAAAGTCTATGTCAATTGAAATGCATTGGGATGTATGCAAATATGGTTGTAGTGTGAAAAGTATTAGTAGTATCAACCTCACCAGTGGCAGTCTGACATTCTAAAGTTGTTTTGGTGTTGATAGCTTATACAGCTTTGGCGCTACAGGAGGCAGAATAATAATAATAATACAAAAATAATCAACCGTTTCTGAAGTTGTGCTTTGCTTTCAGCAAACCATTTTCAACTGCTACTGGTAACATTTACCATCAATGTCAACTTTATAATAGTAAACTCAAACATTGCTGTTTAAAAAAAAGTTAAAAGGTGATACAATATATGAACTCTGTAAACAGTATATGGATAAGGCAAGAAAACAATCTATGCTTTGGTTTCTTATGCCTGGCCATTGTGCTGCATAATTACCATATCAATAACACTAGGGGCAGGTCAAAACTTTGCCATCTCAAACTTTTCTCCACCTCTCAATACTGTTTTCGCATGACTGGTATACTTTGAAAGAGTGTGATTATATACATTTGCATATATTCTGTTTCTGAACGAACACATTCAAATGATAACACCTCAATGGCCAATTAAAAAACATTAAATAATCTTCATCTCCCTGTCAATGATTTGAATTATTACTATATCAAGAGACGTCAAGAACGTCAAGATTGCAATGATCACACAAAAAACAGAATATAAAAAGATAAATGTATGGTTTATTGTATGAATTACCAGTATTCTTTTCATCAAAACGCTCCTGCATTCAGCCAGTTTTGTTTGTTTATTCAAAGTAAAAATCCACAGGTAAGCAACACACATGTTCCTGCTAGTGGGCAGGAGTAGGGGACACAGTCAGTTAGTTCAGAGGTGTTGCTGCTGCATTCATTCTGTTCTGTCAAGCATCCGAGTACCATGTCTCTGCTTTCCCCACTTTTCCCATTGTCTTCTGACTACCCGCCTGAGGCACAAATACAAACCAATCCCTCACCCCACATCCCCGGGTCCCTTTCAATTGGATTACTCTGAGCAATATTAATTCAGCCAAAAAATATATATTTTACAATACGGTATTGAGTGTGACGTTTTTTTCCAACAAAACCAGTTGGACTGAAGCTCAAATTCATGCTAAAAGCTTTGCCTTAGCCTCTTCCCCATCGCTTAGTCTATACCAATCCCATCACTTCAAATCCCCAAGAGGGGAACTCGACAAGAAACCTATAGATAAGTGCCAACGGTCTGGTTTGTAATTGGTCCCGAGGCTGGGACCAAGCAACCGGCCACTATGACGATGACATCATCAGTGACATCACGTGCTGGTGTCGGACATCGAGGTCTCGAGCATCATGTCACTCTCGTACATGTCGCATTCCAGGGGCAGCGAGCTCCGCAGGGGCGTGTCCAACGAGGCCTTGTCCTGATTGGACGGCGGCGTCTCTAGGGCCATGATGCCGCTCTCCTCGAGAAGTACCGTGGTTCGAGCGTCGCTGGGTTCCGTCGACGTGTTCAGCATCTTCATCAACGCCGGCGTGCTCAGCGTCCCGCGAACTTTGTCTTTTATGTCCGTGCCTGAAAAGACACATATGACTATTAAATACTTTATATACACACACACTACATGACCAAAAGTTTGTGGACACCTGCTCTCATTCCAAAATCATGGGCTTTAATATGGAGTTGGTCCCCCCCCCCCGTCCCTGCTAGAACGGCCTCCACTCTTCTGGGAAGGCTTTCCACTAGATGTTGGAACATTGCTGCGGGGACTTGCGGAGCATTAGTGAGGTCCGGCACTGATGTTGGGCGATTAGGCCTGGCTCGCAGTAATTTATCTCAAAGGTGGTAGATGGGGTTGAGGTCAGGGCTCTGTGCAGGCCAGTCAAGTTCTTCCACACCGATCTCAACAAACCGTTTCTGTATGGACCTCACGTGCACGGGTAATTGGCATGCTTAAACAGGAAAGGGCCTTCCCCAAACTGTTGGCACAAAGTTGGAAGGACAAAATTGTCTAGAATGTCATTGTATGCTGTAGCGTTAATATTTCCCTTCACTGGAACTAAGGGGCCTAGCCCGAACAATGAAAAACAGCCCCAGAACATTATTCCTCATCCACCAAACTTTACAGTTGGCACTATGCATTCGGGCAGGTAGCGTTCTCCTGGCATGTGCCAAATACAGATTTGTCCGTCGGACTGCCAGATGGTGAAGCGTGATTCATCACTCCAGAGAACGCGTTTCCACTGCTCCAATGGTGGCTAGCTTTACACCACTCCAGCCGAATTTGGCATTGGCATGGTGATCTTAGGATTGTGTGCGGCTGTTCGGCCATGGAAACCCATTTCACAAAGCTCCCGACGAACAGTTCTTGTGCTGATGTTGCTTCCAGAGGAAGTTTGTAACTCGTTAGTGAGTGTTGCAACCGAGGACAGACGATTTTTACGCGCTACACGCTTCAGCACTCTTTGCGGCTGAGCCGTTGTTGCTCCTAGATGTTTCCACTTCACAATAACATCACTTACAGTTGACCGGGGCAGCTCAAGCAGGGCAGAAATTTTACGAACTGACTTCTTGGAAAGGTGGCATCCTATTGCCACGTTGAAAGCCAATGTTTGTCTATGGAGATTGCATGGCTGGGTGGCTGATATAGCCGAATCCACTAATTTGAAGGGGTGTCCACATACCTTTGTATATATAGTGTATCATCATAAATACCACCTTATTCTTATAGTCTGTCTGTGAAGAACTCCCTGCGCCCTCAGTCACGAGCTGGGGTGTGACGTCACGCCGGTGCGAGTCTACATGCGCAACTCTAGTGAAAGCAGACAATTACCATTTCCACTGTCTAGTATCAAGCCGGCTTGACACCGTAACAACGTCAGGACCGGTGGTCTACTAGTTTCCCGCTGTTCTTTTAGCATGTTAAGAAATCCAGCGCTAACCAGAACGTTAAGTTCTGCCTGTTCGTTGCAATCCACCCATAATGTTTAACATTGTATTAATGTATACATTCCAGACTAATTATTATGTATATTCCCATTGTACAGCTGTCATTATGGTGTTATTAACTCATTGTATGATTTATTTGATAGAAACTACACACTCATCTAACTACTATTCATCATTTGTAGGCCGACATTATAAATAAGAATTTATTCTTAACTGACTTGCCTAGTTAAAAAAAGGTTAAATAAAAATAAATAATTATTCTGGTTTATTGGAATTAAACATTTGACAGTGAATCACTGACCTGCAGGGTCTTTCTAACAGACGACACAGGGGCTCGAGTCGCACTCCCAGTACATAACGCACATAGTATCCAACACTCTCTCAGGCAATATTATTTCTTAACACATAATTCACCAGCAAGTCACACGCTAGCAACGAGACTCGGAAAAAGCAAAACAGAAAAGCAAAATCAACAGTAGTTAAATGCCTTGTAGGTCTGATGTTTACTGGCAAAAACATAACAAATACAGTGCCTTCGGAAACTATTCAGACCCCTTGACTTTTTCCACCTTTTGTTACGTTACAGCCTTATTCTAAAATTGATTTTATAAAACATTTTCCTCAGCAATCTACACACAACACCCCAGAATACTTTTAAGGGCTCAGAACAGGGCAGCACGGCTGGCCCTTAAAAGTATACGGAGAGCTAACATTAATGACATGCATGTCAGTCTCTCCGGGCTGTGAGTGGAAGAGAGATTGACTTCATCACTGCTTGTTGTTGTAAGAGGTGTGGACAAGCAGAATGTACCGAGCTGTCTGTTTAAACTACTATCACACAGCTCGGAAACCCATGCATACCCCACAAGACATGCCCCCAGAGGTCTCTTCACAGTCCCCGAGTCCAGAACAGACTAAGGGAGGCGCACAGTACTACTTAGAGCCATGACTACATGGAACTCTATTCCACATCAGGTAACTGATGCAAGCAGTAGAATCAGATTTTAAAAAAATAAAACTGGTAAAAATACACCTTATGGAACAACAGGGACTGTGAAGAGACACACACAAGGGTATAGACACACGCATACGCACACATTGCGATATTGTTGAATGGTGGTATTAAACATTTTGTATTGTAGATACAGTGGGGGAAAAAAGTATTTAGTCAGCCACCAATTGTGCAAGTTCTCCAACTTAAAAAGATGAGAGAGGCCTGTAATTTTCATCATAGGTACATGTCAACTATGACAGACAAAATGAAAAAAAACATCCAGAAAATCACATTGTAGGATTTTTTATGAATTTATTTGCAAATTATGGTGGAAAATAAGTATTTGGTCAATAACAAAAGTTTCTCAATACTTTGTTATATACCCTTCGTTGGCAATGACACAGGTCAAACGTTTTCTGTAAGTCTTCACAAGGTTTTCACACACTGTTGCTGGTATTTTGGCCCATTCCTCCATGCAGATCTCCTCTAGAGCAGTGATGTTTTGGGGCTGTCGCTGGGCAACACGGACTTTCAAATCCCTCCAAAGATTTTCTATGGGGTTGAGATCTTGAGACTGGCTAGGCCACTCCGGGACCTTGAAATGCTTCTTACGAAGCCACTCCTTCGTTGCCCGGGCAGTGTGTTTGGGATCATTGTCATGCTGAAAGACCCAGCCACGTTTCATCTTCAATGCCCTTGCTGATGGAAGGAGGTTTTCACTCAAAATCTCACGATACATGGCCCCATTCATTCTTTCCTTTACACGGATCAGTCGTCATGGTCCCTTTGCAGAAAAACAGCCCCAAAGCATGATGTATCCACCCCCATGCTTCACAGTAGGTATGGTGTTCTTTGGATGCAACTCAGCATTCTTTCTCCTCCAAACACGACGAGTTGAGTCATCCAAATGCACTCTAGCAAACTTCAGACGGGCCTGGACATGTACTGGCTTAAGCAGGGGGACACGTCTGACACTGCAGGATTTGAGTCCCTGGCGGCGTAGTGTGTTACTGATGGTAGGCTTTGTTACTTTGGTCCCAGCTCTCTGCAGGTCATTCACTAGGTCCCCCCGTGTGGTTCTGGGATTTTTGCTCACCGTTCTTGTGATCATTTTGACCCCACAGGGTGAGATCTTGCGTGGAGCCCCAGATCGAGGGAGCTTATCAGTGGTCTTGTATGTCTTCCATTTCCTAATAATTGCTCCCACAGTTGATTTCTTCAAACCAAGCTGCTTACCTATTGCAGATTCAGTCTTCCCAGCCTGATGCAGGTCTACAATTTTGTTTCTGGTGTCCTTTGACAGCTCTTTGGTCTTGGCCATAGTGGAGTTTGGAGTGTGACTGAGGTTGTGGACAGGTGTCTTTTATACTGATAACAAGTTCAAACAGGTGCCATTAATACAGGTAACGAGTGGAGGACAGAGGAGCCTCTTAAAGAAGAAGTTACAGGTCTGTGAGAGCCAGAAATCTTGCTTGTTTGTAGGTGACCAAATACTTATTTTCCACCATAATTTGCAAATAAATTCATTAAAAATCCTACAATGTGATTTTCTGGATTTTTTGTCATAGTTGACGTGTACCTATGATGAAAATTACAGGCCTCTCATCTTTTTAAGTGGGAGAACTTGCACAACTGGTGGCTGACTAAATACTTTTTTCCCCCACTGTAGGTAGTGGTGTAATAATGTCATATGATGTCCTGCTTTATATACATTTTGTTTTATATGTAATGTAAGTGCTTTAATATGTTTGGACCCCAGGAAGAGTAGCTGCTGCCTTGGCAGGAACTAATGGGGATCTCTAATAAATACAAAAATACAAATGACAAAGCGAAAACAGGTTTTCAAATGTATAAAGAATAAGAAACATAAATATCTTATTTACATAAGTATTCAGACCCTTTGCTATGAGACTCGAAATTGAGCTCAGGTGCATCCTGTTTCCATTGATCATCCTTGAGATGTTTCTACAACTTGTCCACATGTGGTAAATTAAATTGATTGGACATGATTTGGAAAGGCACACACCTGTCTATATAAGGTCCCACAGTTGACAGTGCATGTCAGAGCAAAAACCAAGCCATGAGGTGGAAGGAATTGTCCATAGAGCTCCGAGACAGGAGTGTGTCGAGGCTCAGATCCGGGGAAGGGTACCCAAAAATGTATTCAGCATTGAAGGTCCCCAAGAACACACCGGCCTCCATCATTCTTAAATGTACGAAGTTTGGAACCACCAAGACTCTTCCTAGAGCTGGCCGCCCAGCCAAACTGAGCAATCGGGGGAGAAGGGCCTTGGTCAGGGAGGTGACCAAGAACCCAATGGTCACTCTGACAGAGCTCCAGAGTTCCTCTGTGGAGATGGGAGAACCTTCCAGAAGGACAACCATCTCTGCAGCACTACACCAATCAGGCCATTATGGTAGAGCGGACAGCCGTAAACCACTCCTCAGTAAAACACACGACAGCCTGCTTGGAGTTTGCCAAAAGGCACCTAAAGACTCTCAGACCATGAGAAACAAGATTCTATGGTCTGATGAAACCAAGATTGAAGTCTTTGGCCTGAATGCCAAGCGTCACGTCTGGAGGAAACCTGGCACCATCCCTACGGTGAAGCATGGTGGTGGCAGCATCATGCTGTGGGGATGTTTTTCAGCGGCAGGGACTGGGAGACTAGTCAGGATCGAGGCAAAGATGAACGGAGCAAAGTACAGAGAGATCCTTGATGAAACCCTGCTCCAGAGCGATCAGGACCTCAGACTGGGGCGAAGGTTCAATTTCCAACAGGACAACGACCCTAAGCACACAGCCAAGACAACACAGGAGTGGCTTTGGGACAAGTCTCTGAATGTCGTTGAGTGGCCCAGCCAGAGCCCGAACTTGAACCCGATCTAACATCTCTGGAGAGACCTGAAGATAGCTGTGCAGCAACGCTCCCCATCCAACCTGAGAGCTTGAGAGGATCTGCAGAGAATGGGAGAAACTCCCCAAATACAGGCGTGCCAAGCTTGTAGCGTCATACCCAAGAAGACTTGAGGCTGTAATCACTGCAAAAGGTGCTTCAACAAAGTACTGAGTAAAGGGTCTGATTACTTATGTAAAATGTGATATTTCAATTATTTTTTATTTTATTTTTTTTAACTGTTTTTGCTTTGAGGAAAAATAACAATTTAATCAATTTTAGAATAAGGCTGTAACATAACAAAAATGTGGAAAAAGTCAAGGGGTCTGAATACTTTCCGAATGCACTGTATATCCAAATGTTTTTCGCAAATGTGTTTTAGCATGGGTTGCAAAGGAAGTCGTTTTACCTATGTAGGAAGTTTTACCTATGTAGGCATCCGTATCTCCAATGTACATCTCAATGCAGTGGCCGAGCATCGTCACAGAAAACGTGTCATCTCGCTTAAGACCGAGTGCCTGTCAGAATCAGAAGCAAAACTCATCAATTGCTGTAAAAACATTAAAATGCATAGCAATATTTATTCAACGTGTCACACAGGATCTGTGTCTATGGATTTAAAATGTAAATAAGGGGACAATTAAAAAATATATATATATATAAAAAAATAATAATAATACTGTACCGTATGAAAGTAATCAATGGCGCTCTCGAAGTCTCCCATGAGGCTGTGCACATATCCGATGGCGGAATAGGTCGACGAGTGCTGGGGGATGAGAACCAGGGCCTGGCGGTGATACTCCAATGCCTGGTCATACTTCCTATTGGAGGATAGAACAAAACAACCAAATCGGACAGTTCCCTAATGACCATTTACATTTTAGTCATTTAGCATACGCTCTTATCCAGAGCAACTTACAATTAGTGAGTGCATACATTTTCCAGAGCCAAATCTAGAGTTCTGCCTGGGCTGGGTGTGTTCAGAGAGCCAAAAAAAAGGATCTAACCAAACAACTCCTTCCCTATCGGACCTAGGTGAAAATAGTATGTTTTATTTTGTTTTTTATATTGTTCCATGGTTGCCATGGCGTCTAGTGGCAGCCTTAGTAATTTACTCTTACAAACGTATCCTTAAAGCAGCAATCAGAAGTTGAAACAATAAATATGCTGAGGGATAGGGCTGGAGAAATGTAAGAATCAGCAGGTAGGCTACATTTTATTAATTCAGAAGTCCAAAAATGGATGACGCACCTGCAGATTGCCCCTTTAATTATTTATTTTAAGTGGTTTTTATGTGCATTGTTTTTATAAAAACGTTTTGCCTTTTTTGATAGCTAATCAAGTATTGAACACAGAATTCTAGATTTTTCATCAACAACGTTAAATTAGTTAATATATTTGACTACCGGTACTTTTCCAATCAACTAGCTAATTGTTTGGATTCAAATACAAAGTCAGATCCTCCTAGGATCCTAGGTCGGCAGGTAGCCTAGCGGATAGAGTGTTGGGCTAGTAACTGAAAGGCCGCTGGTTTGAATACCCAAGCCGACAAGGTAAGAATTCTGTCAATGTGCCCTTGAGCAAGGCACTTAACCCCTAATTTTCTCCAGGGGCGCCGTCCTACTATGGCTGACCTTGTAAAACAACACATTTCACTGCACCTATCCAGCGTGTTATTATAATAAAAAAATGGTTTATCCTCATCTCATCTCTTTTTTACTCATCTCGTCTCCCATCTACCAAAGGCTGGACCAACTATCATTCACAACACCGAAGGATTCCTCAGAAGTTTGGAACATATGAAAAAATAACCTGTGCAGCAAACTGAAGAACAGCCTATACGGGATCCTCCGGAAAAAATGCAAACGGCAAGGACAATGGGGCGGCAGACTAATGAACAAACCTAAATCAATTGTGTACACTGGCCAGTTGAATACAACACTGTCCATCATGCACACCGGAGGTGGATGATAAAGGACACTGGCCAGTTCTGCATGCTGCTCCTCAGGCAACTTTCAAAGTAATTCAATTGGGGCTTTTAAATGCAAGATCCATCAACAACAAAGGCTTACTACTGAATGACATCATTGCTGATAGAGGTCTAGACTTCCTCTGCTTCACAGACTTGGCATCAGCCCAATGAGCACATACAGTGCCTTCAGAAAGTATTCATACCCCTTTGACTTTTTCCACATTTTGTTGTGTTACAGCCTGAATTTAAAAATGATTAAATTGAGATTGTGTCACTGGCCTACACACAATACCCCACCATTTTCAAAAGTGAAATTATGGTTTTTGACATTTTTACAAATTAATTAAAAATGAAAAACTGAAATGTCTTGAGTCACTAAGTATTCAACCCCTTTGTCATGGCAAGCCTAAATAAGTTCAGGAGTAAGAATTTGCTTAACAAGTCACATAATAAGTTGCATGTATTCACTGTGTGTGCAATAGTGTTTAACATGATTTCTGAATGACTACCTCATCTCTGTACCCCACACACAATTATATGTAAGTTCCCCCAGTCGAGCGGTGAATTTTAAACACAGATTCAACCACAAAGACCAGGGAGGTTTTCCAATGCCTCGCAAAGAAGAGCAACTATTGGTAGATTTTTTTTGGGGGGGGGAATATCCCTTTGAACATGGTGAAGTTATAAATTACACTTTGGATAGTGTATCCTAAACCCATTCACTACAAAGATACAGGTGTCTTTTCTAACTCAGTTGCCGGAGAGGAAGGAAACCGTCCAGGGATCTCACCATGAGGCCAATGGTGACTTTAAGAGTTTAATGACTGTTATGAGAAAACTGAGGATGGAACAACATCATTGTAGTTACTCCACAACACTAACCTAAATGACAGAGTGAAAAGAAGTAATCCAGTACAGAATACAAATATTCCAAAACATGCATCCTGTTTGCAATAAGGCACTAAAGTAAAACTGCAAAAAATGTGGCAAAGAAATGAACAATGCCCTGAATACAAAGCGTTATGTTTGGGGCAAATCTAACATCACAGAGTACCACTAATTCACATTGTCAAGCATGGTTGTGGCTGCATCGTGTTATGGATATGCTTGTCATCGGCAAGGGAGTTTATTTTGGCTAAAAATAAATGGAATAGGAGGCAAAATCCTAGAGGAAAACCTGGTTCAGTCTGCTTTCCAACAGGCACTGGGAGACAAATTCACCTTTCAGCAGAACAATAACCTAAAACACAAGGCCAAATATACACTGGAGATGCTTACCAAGACGACATTTAATGTTCCTGAGTGGCCTAGCTACAGTTTATACTTAAAATTGGCTTAAAAATCTACGGCAAGATGTGAAAATGGTTGTCTAGCAATGATCAACAACCAATTTTAAAAAGCTTGAAGAATTTTGAAAATAGTAATACAAAATTAAAATTAAATATAAATTAAAAAACAGCAAATGTTGCACAATCCAGGTGTGGAAAGCTCTTAGAGACTTACCCAGAAAGACTCACAGCTGTAATCGCTGCCAAAGGTGATTCTAACATGTATTGACTCAGGGGGTTGAATACTTCTGTAATCAAGATATATTAGAGTTATATTTTACAAATGTTATTTTATATTTATCTTCCCCTTTGACAGAGTATTTTGTGTAGGGTCGTTCATAAATTACAATGAAATCCATTTAATTCCAACTTTGTAACAACAAAATGTGGAAAAGGGGTGTGAATATTTTCTGAAGGCACCGTATTCCTCAACCAATGCACTCCATCTGGCTACACCTACCTGGACTGTCCTAGAACATCTGGACGGTGTGGCAGATTGGCTGTAATCTGCAGGACTGACTGCACTGTGAAGTATACTCCAGTACCAGCTGTTTAATCTTTGAATGCATGGCTTACAAAACCACTGGCTCTGAATCAGTACTGGCTGTGCTGATTGAAAATCGGCCTCCTAAACTCAACTGACTTTCTTGCTGAACAATCTGAGCTACTAACAGTCCTGAGCCCCTTGTGTCCAGCTATGCTAGTGCTTCGTGATTTCAACATGCATGTCAACTCCCCTGACTACAGTCTATCTACTGGTCTGGCTGATGTCCTGGACAACTTTGGACTCCAGCAGTATGTGGATATTGTCACCCACAACAAAGGCCAGACCTGGTCTGTACCACAGGCGTGGATCTGGCCAAATTGGAAGGAAATGTGTCAGGGCTGTCCCGACCATAAACTCATCACCTTCACCCAAGCTATTCCTCTACCTATTCGGCCCAAGAAACACTCCATTCAGTTTAGGAATCCATCTCCTACCTGCCAGTTACTGACTCTGTGGCTCAATACAAGTTTCTCCTTTGAAAACCTGCCTGGTGTCTTTCTCCAAATCGTCTCCCTGGTACACTGAGGACCTACGCTCACTCAAAGCAACTGGCTGTCGCCGAGAACGACATTATAAGAAAACTGGGATAACTGTACATGCGCAGATGTATGAGCAACATCAACAAGAATACAAAACAGGCCACAAATGCAGCTCAGACATCCTACTACTCCCAACTGATCAGCAACAGCAGTGGTAACTCCCGGGTGTTGTTCTCTACTGAGAGCAAGCTCCTTCAACCTGTGAACAACTGCTACCTCAACATCCCCAGAACAGTGCAATCAATACCTGTCCTTCTTACAAAGCAAACTTGAAAATATCAATAACACCATCCTGTCCTCTCCAGCCCCGGTAGTTGAGCTACCCAGTCCTACATTCCCTGAGTAAAGGTTCTCCATGTTCACCACTGTCATTGCAGCTGACAAATGAGGCCCACCACTTGCTTACTTGACCCTATCCCCACCTCCCTCTTCAGGACCTGCTTACTTGCTCTAGTGCTTTTCTTCACAGAAATCATCAACAACTCAGTCATCACTGGATGTGTCCCCCCTCAGTTCAAACTGGCCACAGTTATTTATATATATATATATATATATATATATATATATATTCTACCAGTCAAACGTTTGGACACACCTACTCAATCAAGGGTTTTAATGTTGTTGTTTTTTAAATGATTTACATTGTAGAATAATAGTGATGACATCAAAACTATGAAATAACATATGGAATCATGTAGTAACCAAAAAAAGTGATAAATCAAAATATATTTGAGATTCTTCAAATAGCCACCCTTTGCCTTGATGACAGCTTTGCACACTCTTGGCATTCTCTCAACCAGCTTCATGAGGTAGTTACCTGGAATGCATTTCAATTAACAGGTGTGCCTTCTTAAAAGTTAATTTGTGGAATTTCTTTCCTTCTTAATGCGTTTGAGCTAACAAGCTGTGTTGTGACAAGGTGGGAAGGGGGGGGGGGGTATACAGAAGATAGCCCTATTTGGTAAAAGACCAAGTTCATATCATGGCAAGAACAGCTCAAATAAGCAAAGAAAACAACAGTCCATCATTACTTTAAGACATGAAGGTCAGTCAATCTGGAACATTTCAAGAACTTTTCAAGTTTCTTCAAGTGCAGTCGCAAAAACCATCAAGCGCTAAGATGAAACTGGCTCTCATGAGGACCGCCACAGGAATGGAAGACCCAGAGTTACCTCTGCTGCAGAGGATAAGTTCATTAGAGTTACCAGATTCAGAAATTGCAGCTAAAATAAATGTTTCACAGAGTTCAAGTCACAGACACATCTCAATATCAACTGTTCAGAGGGGACTTTGTGAATCAGGCCTTCATGGTCGAATTGCTGCAAAGAAACCACTACTAAAGGACACCAATAATAAGAAGACCTACTTGGGACAAGAAACACGAGCAATGGACATTAGACCGGAGGAAATGTGTCCTTTGGTCTGGATTCCAAATTAAAGCATGGAGGAGGAGGTGTTATGGTGTGGAGGTGATTTGCTTGTGACACCGTTTGTGATTTATTTAGTATTCATGGGACACTTAACCAGCATGGCTACCAAAGCATTCTGCAGCGATACGCCATCCCATCTGGTTTGGGCTTAGTGGGACTGTCATCTGTCTTTCAACAGGACAATGACCCAACTCACCTCCAGGCTGTGTAAGGGCTATTTTATCAAGAAGGAGAGTGATGGAGTGCTGCATCCGATGACCTGGCCTCCACAATCCCCCGACCTCAACCCAATTGAGACGGTTTGGGATGAGTCAGACGGCAGAGAGAAGGAAAAGCAGCCAACAAGTGCTCAGCATATGTGGGAACTCCTTCAAGACTGTTGGAAAAGCATTCCAGGTGAAGCTGGTTGAGAAAATGCCAAGAGTGTGCAAAGCTGTCAATCAAGGCAAAGGGTGGCTATTTGAAGCATCTCAAATATAAAATATATTTTGATTTGTTTAACACTTTTTTGGTTACTACATGATTCCATGTGTTATTTCATAGTTTTGATGTTTTCACTATTATTCTATATTGTAAAAAATAGTAAAAATAAAGAAAAACCCTTGAATGAGTAGGTGTGTCCAAACTTTTGACTGGTACTGTGCATGCATGCATACATGCATACGTGCATACGTGCATACATGCATACATACATACTACCAGTCAAAAGTTTGGACACACCTACTCATTCAAGGGTTTTTCTTCATCTTTACTATTTTTTACATTGTAGAATAATAGTAAAGACATCAAAGCTATGCAATAACACATATGGAATCATGTAGTAACCAAAAAAAGTGTTAAACAAATCAAAATATATTTTATATTTATTTATACATTTCTAAAAACCTGTTTTTGCTTTGTCATTATGGGGTATTATATGTAGATTGATGAGGATTCTTTTTCATTTTTTGCACGTGTCCTCACCCACACCTCCCTCCACGAGCACATCACTCCAGTGCTGTTCAACCTCTACTGACTCCCCATATGCTCACGCATCGACTACAAAATCCTGGTTCACGCCTACCAAGTTCTGCATATCTCCGGACCCAATGACCTGTCTGACCTCATTCTACCCTCCTGCCCAACACGCACCCTTCGCTACTCCAGGTCGGTCTCCCTTTTTAGCAGACTAAAAACTATGGGTGACAGAGCTTTCAGTTGCGTGGCTCCGCGGCTGTGGAACACACGTCCAGACACTACTAGGGCTGCAGAGTCTCTGTCCTCGTTTAAGGCACAGCTCAAGACTGTGCTGTTCAGAAAAGCTTTCAAGGCCCTCCGCTAATTCTGTTCTCATGAAACCACCCGCGGGCCAAATCGCAGGCCCTCAGTTGGGGAACCCTGCAGTAAGTCCTCTCATCACCTCAGACTCTCCACCTGAAATACCACTCAGGAAAATGTTTGGATCCCTGTCCTTTAACGATGCTTTATAAGGTACCTGGGAGATAACAGAGGAACGCCTGCCTGCCTACCTACCTAACCCTGAACCCATAAATGAGATGAGAACAAGGATAACACCGATGATGTCATAGGAGAGAGATCCAGAGACACTGCACATGCCAGTCAGAACTTCCATTCTGTTCAGTTCCATCCCCTCAAAGGGGTACGTCACAAGCCGACTAGAAATATTCTGGATTAGTTTAGGCTAGCTAGCTTCAGTTAGCTCCACATTCCAGCTCAGGCTTCATCCAGGTCACAAAAGGTGGATATTTATCCATCACCTTCCACATATCAAACCAGGCTTGTAACTGCGTGTGCACGTGGCACGTGGAAAGCCCAGCGAGTCCAACAGTTGCCATAGTTATTTACCTCGCTAAAAAGGTGATGCCACCTTTGTGACAACAGTTATCCCTAGTTGAATTCAGAATAAATCAAAGTGAGCTCGCAACTCCTTCATCCTGCTTCGTGACATACCCCTCTAGTGTTCTGATGAGTAAACACTTGCCGGGAGGATCTTTATACTCACTTCAGTTTCCGACAAACGTGACCCAGGTTGTTCAGGAGTGGTTCCCACTTGTCCACTGTTACCTGAAAGAAAACACAACTTTTACAAAAAGAGGAATGTTTGCATTGAAAATAAACACACAGCAATTAAACTGACTGCCAGATCTTAAGTTCAAACACATTTAAGATTGAGTATGATACAGTACACGTGGGGCTAGATTTCCTCGATTCAAATGAGCAGCTACCTCATTCCCAATTGCTTTGATCTTGTCAATTGCGTCCAGGAACAACTTCTCGGCTGTTTTCCAGCTGAAAAGAGCAGAATTTAACACATTTCAGCAAAATCAAATCCCACACATGAACAAATAAGAAAATAAGGCACAAGTACCCTTTCCCACACACTATCATGCCAACCCCAACCATACTGTGACAGCACAGATTTTTCCTTTAGAAATGGTCCTTTCCGGCACAGTTCCAGCAACTATGATGAACGCGTGGCAATGTACAGCTAAACCTCAATAAAGAGACAGAATCCACAAATTATAGTCACGACCCAAACCGAATCATTCATGGCCCACCTGTGGGTTTTAAACCCATCGTAAGGAAAACGCTCTTCTTACCAATTTGCTGATGGCTATGATGAGAGCCCTCAAGCGTGTATGTATGCATGTGGGGGTATTGTAGAGTGTGTTATACACTGAGTGTACAAAACACTCACTGTATTTCCATGACAGTCTGACCAGTTGAGAGCTATGATCCTTTTTATGTCACTTGTTAAATCCACTTAAAAATCAGTGTAGATGAAGGGGAGGAGACAGGTTAAAAAATGATTGTTAAGCCATGAAACAATTTAGATATGGATTGTGTGTGTGTGCCATTCAGAGGGTGAATGGGCAAGACAAAATATTGAAAGTGTCTTTGAACAGGATATGGTAGTAGGTGCCATGCGCACCGGTTTGAGTGTGTCAAGAACTGCAACACAGCTGGGGTTTTCACGCTCAACAGATTCCCGTGTGTATCAAGAATGGTCCAAAGGACATCCAGCCAACTTGACACAGCTGTGGAAAGCATTGGAGTCAACATGGGCCAGCATCCCTGTGGCGTGCTTTCGACACCTTGTAGAGTCCATGCCCAACAATTGAGGCTGTTCTGAAGGTAAAAAGGGGTGCAACTCAATACTAGGAAGGTGTTCCTAATGTTTTGTACACTCAGTGTAGCATGTGTGCACATGCATGCTATATATCCTCTTGGGTGCACGTGTGTGAGTATGCATGTGTACGTTTTCCCACCGTGTTGGTGTTTTCCCCCAGTGTGTGCATGTGTATGCATACACATTATCTCAGTATGTGTGTGTGTGTGACTCACTCTCCGTTCTGAAAGGCCACAACGGCCACCTCGTGCATGACAAAGGGGTCTTCTGGTGCTATGCTCAGGGCCTGGCTGAAGAAGCGCTCGGCCAGTTTAGAGTTGTTTGTAAGGCCGTACTCCAGCCCTATGTACAACATAGGGAGATGGCATCTGGACAGGAGAGATGAGAGCAAGGGTTAGGTTTCAAGTCTAATGGGCAAGGTTGTGAAGGTACATGCTATTATATGCTTATAAGATATTATATATGCATCAGTTTGTTATGATACTGTACATTTCTCACTGTTTTTCAATGACTAAGGCACCCCTGCGTTTAGCCATTTTAGCAAGATGCATCTTTGAACACACTCCAACAAATGTGTTCGTGTTCAACATTACATTTGAGCACACGACAGCGCTGTTCTGTGGACGTGTGGGGTGCTGCGTCTGTGGAAGGGATGTCTGGGTACAATAACAGTACATACCCCTTCATCAGTTGAGCAGCAGTGAAGTAGGCAGCCATTGCCTGGTCGTGTTCACTCTCCACTGCAAACGAGTGACCGTAGGCGATCCATGCCGGACCGTACGTCCGCTCCAGTGTGGTCGCCTTGCTGCGGGAGACAGCATAAGGAACTTAGTGTAAATAAGAGAGATATTCTAGTCTGTCACTGAGTGAATAATCATCAATTATGTTTTTTTTTTATAATACTTTGAAATTTGTAGATTTGATTCAGCAGGAAGTGAATCAATCAAAATATTTTAATTTACAATATATAGAATATCAATGTCTGACTGCTGAATATAAAATATGCTTGGTGTTAAGAAAACCATGGTATCTGGTACCTGAGATATCTACGCGCGTGTTCGTTTTTGTGACCAACCATTAGATAGTAGCATCCCACAGCAAACCAAGAGACCTGGATGAAAACAATGTTTACCATTTGTCTAGTGGTCAAAGAATAAATCATGCACACAAAAGAAAACATACCGTACTAATCAGAGCTTGGATATGTGGAATGGCAAGATGCTAGTATTGGGGGGTGTACTCATAGCAGAACAGGCAACACTTTACACTATATAGAGCAGGGGCTATACTTACTGGGTTATTGGGATACAAGTCCACAAGCCTGTGCGAAAGGTAAAACAGTTCTGTGGTGGTAAAAAGAGGAGAATCATGGTACACATTCAGATGTTAAATATATCTTTCATGCGCATCAATAACCAAATTTAAAGAAAAGCTTCAACGGTCTTACCATTTGCTTTGCTGAGCTCCACCAGTGTTCCTATATGAACAGGTAAACAGTTGGCATGGAATGGGTCTTTCACCATCACCCTTGAAGAAACACAAAACATTCAGGTTTTACAGACAGGCCCAAATGATGTGTGAAACGTATATCCTTTTTACACAACTGAGCCGAGAGAGAATAATATTCCACTAACATAAACCATAAGAATAACATCACAACAGTTATTATAATTAAATAAATTTTAGTTTGGCCGGTTAACGCTTGCAGACTGCCAATACATCTCAAGTTTAAAGGTTAAGGTGGGCCAGCAGTTATCAAACTTACATGGAAGTGAGCTTGTAGCACATTTTGAAGTCACAGTTGTAATAATGCCTCTCAGCAAGGGAGACCACCACATCCAAGTTGTCCTGGAGACCGTTGACCATCTCTGGCACCACCATATCACTGGGTTTGTTATACTGAGGGAAGGAAAGAGGAAAGGATGGGTGGAGAAAGGGAGGGAGAACCAAATGTGGAATTGGAACAAAAGCACCATCATCATTAGCAATCGAATCAACACTAATTTGAGACAAATGACCACTCTTAACTTTAGTAAAATCAGAGAGAACATTTCTGGGTTTTTGTAGCCATGATTATTGGTTGATTGATGGGGCAACTGTAGACAACCAATATAGACCAAATATGAGTGATTGTAATATTTAGAAATAATCGTATGCTTCATTCTGAACTATAGGGCAAAGTCCATAGTGACATATGATGACCTGTGTATTCCAATAAAGAAACACAACATGATGATCAACATTGCACATGACAATGTAAAATACTGAAACTTAACATAGGAATCTGAACGCAACTGATGTCCTGACATGGAGGATAACAGTGGACATACCTTCTTCAATTTATTCTCAAACAGGAAGTGAAGTAATTCGTCTTCCTCCTCTGTGCACTGTTGGCTCAAAGGAAGCAAGTCCAGGAAGTCCTTTTCTACAAACACAAAAATGACAAAAGGTCTTCAAATAAGGGGTTTGGGAAAAAATTCAAAATTAAATAAATTTACCCTACAGAAACATCTATAAGCCGTTATTGGCATAAAACAAAGCAACATACAAATCAATATTTCAGGGATGCAAACTGGTGAGGCCAAAAAAGGAGCACAGAAACACACAAAAAAGCTGTGTAAACTGCACATAACATTTTGTGGGGTTGTCACAACACCAACGATGTGATACCAGGCCGAGGCCCATGGGGGGCCCAAGAGGCAGCAAAACATTTTATACAAAATTTTTTAAACTAATAAAAAGGAAATATATACAGTATATATATATATATATATATTAAACAGTGCATTTGGAAAGTATTCAGACCCCTTGACTTTTTCCACATTGTTACGTTACAGCCTTATTCTAAAAATTGATTGTTTTTTTCTCCTCATCAATCTACACACACAATACCCCACAATGACAAAGCAAAAACAGGAGTCACTTGGCTCTTTCTTTTCTCTCCAAAACTCTTGAGCGTGCAGTCTCTAGCCAACTCTCCTGCTATCTCTCTCAGAATTACCTTCTTGATCCAAACCAGTCAGGTTTCAAGACTGGTCATTCAACTGAGACTGCTCTTCTCTGTGTCACGGAGGCTCTCCGCACTGCTAAAGCTAACTCTCTCTCCTCTGCTCTTATCCTTCTAGACCCATCTGCTGCCTTTGATACTGTGAACCATCAGATCCTCCTCTCCGAGTTGGGCATCTCCGGCGCTGCTCACTCTTGGATTGCGTCCTACCTGACAGGTCGCTCCTACCAGGTGGCGTGGCGAGAATCTGTCTCCGCACCACGTGCTCTCACCACTGGTGTCCCCCAGGGCTCAGTTCTAGGCCCTCTCCTATTCTCTCTATACACCAAGTCACTTGGCTTTGTCATATCCTCACATGGCCTCTCCTATCATTGCTACGCAGACGACACACAATTCATTTTCTCCTTTCCCCCTTCTGATAACCAGGTGGCGAATCGCATCTCTGCATGTCTGGCAGACATATCAGTGTAGATGTCGGATCACCACCTCAAGCTGAACCTCGGCAAGACGGAGCTGCTCTTCCTCCCGGGGAAGGACTGCCCGCTCCATGATCTCGCCATCACGGTTGACAACTCCATTGTGTCCTCCTCCCAGAGTGCAAAGAACCTTGGCGTGACCCTGGCAACACCCTGGACAACACCCTGTCGTTCTCTGCTAACATCAAAGCAGTGACCCGACCCTGCAGGTTCATGCTCTACAACATTCGCAGAGTACGACCCTACCTCACACAGAAAGCGGCACAGGTCCTAATCCAGGCACTTGTCATCTCCCGTCTGGATTACTGCAACTCGCTGTTGGCTGGGCTCCCTGCCTGTGCCATTAAACCCCTACAACTTATCCAGAACGCTGCAGCCCGTCTGGTGTTCAACCTTCCCAAGTTCTCTCATGTCACCCCGCTCCTCTGCACACTCCACTGGCTTCCAGTTGAGGCTCGCATCTACTACAAGACCATGGTGCTTGCCTAAGGAGATGTGAGGGGAACGGCACCTCCTTACCTTCAGGCTCTGATCAGACCCTACACCCAAACGAGGGCACTACGTTCATCCAACTCTGGCCTGCTAGCCCCCCTACCTCTACGGAAGCACAGTTCCCGCTCAGCCCAGTCAAAGCTATTCGCTGCTCTGGCACCCCAATGGTGGAACAAGCTCCCCCACGACGAGTCACTGACCACCTTCCGGAGACACTTGAAACCCTACCTCTTTAAGGAATACCTGGAATAGTATAAAAGTAATCCTTCTACCCCTCCCTCCCCCACAAAAAAAAAAACAACAAAAAGTGGTTGTCCCACTGGCTATCATAAATTGAATGCACCAATTTGTAAGTCGCTCTGGATAAGAGCGTCTGCTAAATGATGTAAATGTGATTCTTGGCATTCAGGCCAAAGATTTCAATCTTGGTTTCATCAGACCAGAGAATCTTGTTTCTCATGGTCTGAGAGTCCTTTAGGTGCCTTTTGGCTAAGTCCAACCGGGCTGTCATGTGCTGTTTACTGAGGAGTGGCTTCTGTCTGGCCATTCTACTATAAAGGCCTGCTTGGTGGAGTGCTACAGAGATGGTTGTCCTTCTGGAAGGTTCTCCCATCTCCACAGAGGAACTCTGGAGCTCTGTAAGAGTGACCATCGGGTTCTTGGTCACCTCCCTGACCAAGGCTCTTCTCCCCCGATTGCTCAGTTTGAGCTCTAGGACGAGTCTTGGTGGTTCCAAACTTTTCCATTTAAGAATGATGGGGCCACTGTGTTCTTGGGGACCTTCAATCCTCCAGACATTTTTTGGTACCCTTCCCCAGATCTGTTCCTCGACACAATCCTGTCTCTGAGCTCTACGGACAATTCCTTCCACCTCATGGCTTGGTTTTTGCTCTGACATGCACGGCTGTCAACTGTGGGACCTTATATAGACAGGTGTGTGCCTTTCCAAATCATGTCCAATCAATTGAATTTATTTATCACAGGTGGACTCCAATCAAGTTGTAGAAACATCTCAAGGATGATCAATGGAAACAGGATGCACCTGAGCTCAATTTCGAGTCTCATAGCAAATGGTCTGAATACTTATGTAAATAAGGCATTTCTGTTTTCTAAAAACCTGTTTTCGCTTCGTCATTATGGGGTGTGTGTCGATTGATGAGGGAAAACAATTATTTTATCCATTTTAGAATAAGGCTGTAATGTAACATTTGGAAAAAGTCAAGGAGTCTGAATACTTTCCAAATGCAATGTATTTCTGTATTTCATTTTCAATAAATTTGCTAAAATTTCTAAAAACATGTTTTCACTGAAATGATGGGGTATTGTGTGTAGATGGGTGAGATGTATTTATTTAATCCATTTTGAATTCAGACTAACAAAACAACATTTGGAATAAGTCAAGGGGTATGAATACTTTCTGAAGGCACTGTATGTTGCCCTACAAGACTAAAATAAACCCTTGCTCACCAGAAGAATGTTATAAATTGATAGAATGAATGCTTCAATATAGTTGATATCGGTAAAGTTATCGGTCATCTCCGCTTCTTTCGCAGAGTAAAGACGTTTAGGGACCGGGGAGAAAACGTATTAACAAAAAACAGTTAGGCCCACGCACTAATGCCAGATAGCCTAAAAATTATGGGAAAAAACGTCAATGTAGTGAAGGAAAAGCAGGCAACAAGTGCTCAGCATATGTGGGAACTCCTTCAAGACTGTTGGAAAAGAATTCCAGGTGAAGCTGGTTGAGAGAATGCCAAGAGTGTGCAAAGCTGTCATCAATGCAAAGGGTGGCTACTTTGAAGAATATCAAATATATTTTGATTTGTTTAACACTTTTTTGGTAACTACATGATTCCATATGTGTTATTTCATAGGTTTGATGTCTTCACTATTATTCTACAATGTAGAAAAAAGTAAAAATAAAGAAAAACCCTTGAATGAGTAGGTGTGTCCAAACTTTTGACTGGTACTGTATTTAACAAAAATGTAGCCTATAAATTGCACAAGAATGATACATTGATGTCTTTTTTATGTATTGTTTTCTCTTTATTCAACCAGTCCGCCGCCCATCTGCCCTTCATCTATACAATATTTTATGACCCTAAACCCGACCGCCCGCGGATATAACTGCAGGTTATGAGTCAACCCGTGCATCACTAGCATGTGTGCTAGTGATGCATTGTATTACTCCTGTGCAGCAGGATGCAAACTCGTCACTTCTCAGCAATATTCAGTTTTTTTCTAACGGATCTACACGATTCACGTGAATGACCTATATTTTGAGATCAAAACTGCGAATATCGCCAAAAAGTCACGAGTTTGCTTCTCTGTATATTACTTCTGCTGCACACGTGCAAAAACCATTAGTCTTATTTTTTGATTCCACATTCCCCTTAGGTCTGCTTTTGTTCCCAGTCTCGCTCTGGCCTCACCTTCCTGAGCGGTCAGCATGTGGTGGGACGTTAGAAGGTCGAAGGCTTCAAAGCAGTACACGTCCAGTTTCAAGGCCTCTTTGTAGCTGGATGTGGCCAGAGGCCGGTTGTCCATGGCATCATATATCTTCCCCCGCAACAGGCAGATGGAACTGCTGATCTGAAGAAAAAAAAAAGGGGGGGGGGGGGGGGGGGGGGGGGGGGGACGTTGAAGTTTAAGGGACCACAAGGGGTCAGGAACACTGAAGCAGCATGAATCGGGGAAGCCTCCAGGGGCTTCTGACATTTAAAAAAAAGACTCACACATGAATTTTGTATGAATATGGCAGGTGATGTGGCTACCGGGTGAATGACAGGACCCCTTTAGTAATATGATGGTGATAACTACAAAAGGAAATATTTATAGCTTAGAAAGGAACCAATCATAAAAATGCAGCCAAAGGGTCTTTGACATGGCAACATGGCATTCAATCTCTGCCTCAGTCACCTACAGTACAGTATGCAAATAGTTAACCTGTAGTCACAACACCATAAATGTGAACAGACTGGAATATCCCATTGTAAGAGACTTGAACACAAACGTGGTATTACAGGGCCACATAAACACATGGGACCCTATTGTGTCAGAGCTGAGACTTACAGAGGCAGGGGTCATCTCCCAGTCTGACTCTTGTATCCTTTTGTCCTCTTTGACACTCCGCTCCAGCAGCTTCTTGCTGGTTGGCTCCTCCATGTCCAGGATGTCCAAGGCCTGCTGGAACTCTTTGGCAGCATACTGCACAAAACACAAACACTAGGTTAGTGCTTCCAATGGCTCAGCTCAGTTAAGAGTATAGTGCTGGTAAATTCAGGGTTGTGGGTTTGATTCCTGCATGAGCCACATATTATGAATATACAGTATCTCACAAAAGTGAGTACACCCCTCACATTTTTGTAAATATCTGAGTATATCTTTTCATGTGACAACACTGAAGAAATGACACTTTGCTACAATGTAAAGTAGTGAGTGTAAAGCTTGTATAACAGTGTACATTTGCTGTCCCCTCAAACTAACACAACACACAGCCATTAATGTCTAAACAGCTGGCAACAAAAGTGAGTACACCCCTAAGTGAAAATGTCCAAATTGGTGCCAAAGTGTCAATATTTTGTGTGGCCACCATCATTTTCCAGCACTACCTTAGCCCTCTTGGGCATGGAGTTCACCAGAGCTTCACAGGTTGCCACTGGAGTCCTCTTCCACTCCTCCATGACGACATCACGGAGCTGGTGGATGTTAGAGACCTTGCACTCCTCCACCTTCTGTTTGAGGATGCCCCACAGATGCTCAATAGGGTTTAGGTCTGGAGACATGCTTGGCCAGTACATCACCTTTACCCTCAGCTTCTTTAGCAAGGCAGTGGTCGTCTTGGAGGTGTGTTTGGGGTCGTTATCATGTTGGAATACTACCCTGCGGCCAAGTCTCCGAAGGGAGGGGATCATGCTCTGCTTCAGTATGTCACAGTACATGTTGGCATTCATGGTTCCCTCAACGAACTGTAGCTCCCCAGTGCCGGCAGCACTCATGCAGCCCCAGACCATGACACTCCCACCACCATGCTTGACTGTAGGCAAGACACAGTTGTCTTTGTACTCCTCACCTGGTTGCCACCACACACTCTTGACACCATCTGAACCAAATACGTTTATATTGGTCTCATCAGACCACAGGACATGGTTCCAGTAATCCATGTCCTTAGTCTGCTTGTCTTCAGCAAACTGTTTGCAGGCTTTCTTGTGCATCATCTTTAGAAGAGGCTTCCTTCTGGGACGACATCCATGCAGACCAATTTGATGCAGTGTGCGGCGTATGGTCTGAGCACTGACAGGCTGACCCCCAACCCCTTCAACCTCTGCAGCACTCATACGTCTATTTCCCAAAGACAACCTCTGGATATGACGCTGAGCACGTGCACTCAACTTCTTTGGTCGACCATGGCGAGGCCTGTTGAGTGGAACCTGTCCTGTTAAACCGCTGTATGGTCTTGGCCACCGTGCTGCAGCTCAGTTTCAGGGTCTTGGCAATCTTCTTATAGCCCAGGCCATCTTTATATAGAGCATCAATTCTATTTTTCAGATCCTCAGAGAGTTCTTTGCCATGAGGTGCCATGTTGAACTTCCAGTGACCAGTATGAGGGAGTGTGAGAGCGATGACACATGACACCGGGGATGTTGCGAAATTGCTAATTGGGCCCAATTTGGACATTTTCACTTAGGGGTGTACTCACTTTTGTTGCCAGCGGTTTAGACATTAATGGTTGTGTGTTGAGTTAATTTGGAGGGGACAGAAAATGTACACTGTTATACAAGCTGTACACTCACTACTTTACATTGTAGCAAAGTGTCATTTCTTCAGTGTTGTCACATGAAAAGATATACTCAAATATTTACAAAAATGTGAGGGGTGTACTCACTTTTGTGAGACACTGTATGTGTCACTGTCAATGCTGACAGTTCTGTAAGTCACTTTGGATAGGAAGCATCTGCTAAATGACCATATTGGGAAATAAGTCCGGTACACAAATAGAATTTAAAGTCTGCAAGGATGAGAATAACGAAATGTATGGAAAGTAAACAAATAGAGGAAATCAGAAAGAAAAAAAGATAAAAGGTATAGCCTAGGTAAAAAATACGTGGGGAAACGAGGTAGAGCTGACAGCTTTTGTACTACAAAAAAAGGCACGGAAAGCTTCTGTTGTAGACACATAGGAGTAACTCCATTTGAATTAAATCACGTTTTGACAGCACCCCCCCTTTGATTAGAAACATTCCATACGTGTCCATTGTAGAAGTACTCCGAAAGTTACTTTTTGTACCTGAACGCAAAAACATTCAAGAGATAAAGGTGCTTTAAAGTTGACCCATATTGCAAATCATGAGACATCCATGTCTTCATCACTGTAAAAAAAAATATTATGGTTGAGATTGATATCATTTAAAAGCTTACAAACAGGGTTGTGAAACTATTTTGTAATTTCTTTATATATATATATTTTTGGGATTATCCAAAAAACAATTATTTTCATTTTGCATATGTTGTAGTTTAGTCTAATTACATCTGAGGTTTTTGTGTTGTTCCCGCCATCGGTTGAGACATAACATGCTCTTGAATACAGGGTGGGTGTCACGTTTTGCCTGATAAATGTACAACCATTTTTATTTCAACTTTCAAACGGTACCACAAAGATGGTTGGAGGTCCACACATCAGAGAATGTTGACTTGAATAGGAATATCTGTTGTTTTAAATTACACTGTCAATTCTCCATAGGAAACCTATTGAAATCATAGAAATCTAGATAATAGAACAAACAACCATTTAAGTTGACATTCGAAGTTAAGTGGACCGGCGGCCATCTTTGTGGTAGTAATTATACGTTTAAATTTCAATAAAATGTCAATGTTCAATAAGAGACACGGAAAGGAGCGCTTATTTGGTTGATAGTTAAATCTGAGGTGCTCTTTGATCATGGGATGAAATGCTACAGAACAAAAATAAGTTGACGCTGCATAGTATTTTTATTCTTGCTATGCATAAGCCGTAACAAAGGCTTTTTCATTTATCCACTACAGGAGAGTGCATTGATTACTTCTGGAAGTTTGTTTGCACAAAGGCTTTTCCGGGATTATTTACTATCCAGCATTAACTTATTTTTGTTTGATTCAATTTCAGTAAAATTGCAGTGATCTGAAGGGATAGGTCCATTCTATGAATTATATTTCTACGAATGAAATAACACCCACACTGTATTCATGAGCATGTCATGTCTCAACCGATGGCGGGCACAACACAAAAACCTCAGATGATGTAAAATAGGGTCTAAGCTATAACATATGAGAATATGAAAAAAATCGTAGTTTACGCGATTTTAGATAATTTACGCTAAAATAAACGTTTTTTTCAAGAAATTATAAAATAGTTTGACAACTCTGTGTGTAAGGTTTTAAATAATATCAAAGTCAACTGTTTATCTTTTTCAGCAATGAAGACATGGATGTCTCACATTATGATGAGGTATGTAAAACAGGTCAACTTTGAGCACCTTTATCTCCTGAATGTTTTAGCATTCAGGTCCAAGAAGTCACTTTCTTACCACTTATTTCATGGGCAAACATGTATGAAACGATATGTTTAAATCAAAAGGGATGCTGTAGAAAGGTTATTGAATTTAAGTGCATTGACCCATAGGCCACAGGATCATGGAGAGTTTGAACAGGTATATTTCATCACAAGAAGTAGCCTAACATGAATACTCACGTGGCACCTAGCAGCGAGATATTGACAAGCGCCATACAACTGAAATGAAAGATAAATATTAGGAACAAGCTGACCGACAAGCTGACCGACAACAACTTTTCAGATCAACAAGGACATCCAGCACACCCAGTAAAAATACTTATTCTTCAAAAATATAAACTCTGGATAGCACAAAGTTTTGAAAGCTACATAGAAGAGTAATGTATAGACTGGACAGACTCATAATGACAAGTCAGAATATGCCTAGTATCCAACATGTCATTAGTGAACTGCATGCTAGTGCATGAGTGCCCCTCAGTGAGACGTGTAGAAACAGGGAGGCACCCAGGCTACCTGCATGTCCCCATGCAACAAATTGGGGGAAGCCAACCAGGTAGTCTTACCTTATCTAGTTTACGTGAGCGGAGGGCATGGGAGGCTCTGTGGTACTGAGAGGTGAGGTAAAGGCACTGTGCTAGCCAGTATATATCCTGGGGGTCTTCTGCAAGGACAGGAAAAAGGCATCACTTCAGTTAGATACCCTGCTAACCAACATGTTATACTAACTAGCCAGATGATCACAAAACATTTGTTACATCTCATCAAATCAGGAAGATCACTCACCATGTGACAGGGATGCAATCTTATCTGCCCAAAATAGAGCACTTTGATACTGTTGCTGCAAACAAAGCAGACAGGGAAGGCAGCATGAAACCAAACATTCTGAATGTGTTGACTACAAGTATGAAACTGACACTGTCAGGGGCTGTCAAGACTCACTGATACAAGTTAGCAGTTAGCAAGCCCTGATATATGTGGCTAGCCTCCAAGTACATAGTAGCTAGCTAGCTGAGGCCACTGATTTAGTAGCAAGCACAAGCAGGGTAGCTAACTAGTTACTAGCTAGCTAGCCATCTTGGATATAGAGAGCAATAGTAACGCCATCTTTTTGTAGGCACTAACTCCGCCATGGCTTAATTGTTGGTCAAAGCCTAAAGGGAAATTCATGTTTTTTTTTTTTTTTTTTTTTATAAATGCCGAAAATAGGTCTTAATTTTTTATGAATTTTGAAGCATTTATGTAATCAAAACAAGCACAAAGGCTTCATAATTCATAAAAGTGAATGTTAACCGACTGATATTATCTCAGAACAAAACATATAAGATCTCCTAAGCCTGTGTTAACCTCAGACCTTATTTTCAGCATTTATCCCAAAACCCTATTCTTTCCCAAAACCCCATTCTTTCCTCATTGATTTCCCCCATAGGAAATCCGAACGAACCAGAGGTAACTAATTTCCGTTTTTTAGGACTACAACACAGATCGAACAATGATCCGTATAAATCTGAAGCATCCGGTTGGCATTTCTACTCACCACCAAATATGGTGATGGCAGGAAGCCCAGTGGCTGGCAGGGGGGGAAAATAGAGCGAGATGGATTTTGTCCAACATTCTGCTAATTTTCTCATTGATGAAACATTTGATCTCAGTACAGTTTCCTGTTCCCAAAACTAGAATATGTTACGAAGGGTGTGGACTACCCTTTGCCAAAGTTTTTTATATTTTTTAAATTGCGTTGTTTAGAAGGAGTACTATATCGAATTGAGTTATTGCACACACGCACTTAACGGAAATAGGCAAATAAATGCTCGAACGCGCCAATAGGACCTCGCAATGCCCACTATGATTAATTTACCCCCATTGGAAACGACAGGCGGTGGTCTATCTTGGGTTATTTTCTTTTATTTTTTTATCTTCGACAACAAGCTGGCAAGCTCTATTGACATTATGCTATCGCAAATATAACCTTACACCGCTGGATAACGTTCCTGTAGACTTGTCATTCTGAACAGTACCTAGCCCATTTACTTAGCTAGCGGGTGCAATAAATTATGGCAATCTGACAGCGGCAACCTAACTTAGCTAGCTATCTAACGTTAGCTACCTCGCTTCTTATCCCGACCTAGTCTAGCTAGCTACGTTTCTTACCTGATCAATGTAGTGTCGTACACGTTTTCGAAGTTTGTCGAGATTCATTGTAATTGTCCTAATGCTTTTTACAAATCAAAGCGTATCATTATCATGTAAAAATTTGCTCCCTAGTAGTAGCGGGTGGGTAGCTAGCTACGCGGCTTCTTCTGCAGCAGTAGCGTCACTTAAACTCCGCAAGGAAACTCGAGCCTTTGGTTAAGGGTTCCGGTCAGTTAAGAGAAAATAAAATGCTAGGAATATTTTATCTAATTACGGCGGAGAACATTTTGGACAATACAGTTGATTACATGATAGCCAATGAAAATTTGTATTTATATTTTTGTAGAAAATATAAGAGGGGAAAACCATTTTATCTGTGTTATAAGCACAGGTGAAAGTAAAGGAAAGGTTAACCCATTTGTAATATTACATTGTTTTTGTGCATCTCTGAGTGATATTCTATCGATTCCCTAGGTCATTTCATGTTTTCATATGTATCTGAGTTATTGGCATTCAAGCAGACATAAATCCGTCCGGTATGAGGTAGCACTGTGTAAAGTCGCTCTCACTACACTGGAAGTTAATAGTGGAAGAAGAAAGGGGTGGTTGTAGCAAAGATGGAGGGAAAAAAGATGGCGGAAGGGGATGATGAAGTGGATTCTGAATCTAATGGCGGTAGAATCAAGGAGAATTTGAATATTGTCCAAAAGAATGGAAAACGGAGCAAAGTAGAGTACAGTGATGAGAATGTCACTTCGTATCTAGTAGGAGTACGGTTTGTAAATGAAGAGCAGCTGATCTTTACCAATCTTGAGATATTCAAACTGGTGAAGAGAGTGCTGGGTAGAGTGAAGGCTGTGAGGATCACGAGAGGCGGGCTGGTTTAGATTTTTTGTGCTTCTGAGGATCAGAAGAAACGTGTGTTGCGTCTCACCCGATTTGATACGTTTGAAGTGTCATGTGTGTCTCTTAGGAACAGGGCACCCCTCAAGGGGGTTATATCTGGAGTCTTGTGGGAAGTAGATGTTGAAGAGATGAAAAATATTCCTGGAGTGATTGATGACGTCGGATGAATTGTGTGGTGAATAAAGAAAAAGTGAAGTCTATCTTGTTTTTTGTTTTTTGATATGGAGTCTCTCCCTACTCAAATGCAGTTAGGGTATATTAACTACAGAGTCTGAGCATTTATCCCAACACCAATGCAGTGTGATCACTGTAAAGCTTTTGGTCACGTTTCAAGTGTTTGCAGAAGGGAAAAGCTGAGATGTCCAAGTTGTGGAAAATATAATATTATGTGTTATAAAAGTGATGAATATGTTACAATTGTGGTGGGAACCATGAAGCCACATCTTTTGAATGCCCAACAAGGGTGAAAGAGAATGAGGTGGCCAAAATCAGGGCTATCCAGAGCATATCATATGCAGCAGCTGTTAAAATGGTTGAGGGTTTGAATGGTGCACTTATAGAGTCCATGGTGGTGGATAGGCCTTCACTGCAGGCTGCAGGTATTGCCTTTCACCAGCAGGATCCTGACATTTTAGAGGTTAAGAAGGTGGACTTTGTGGCCTTTTTAACTATGGTGATAAATGGCACTGCCAAGGTGGAGAGAAGGTCCAGGAAGATAGAAATCAATGTGGAAGCGGCGGAGTGGTTCCTGGGGCTGAAAGATTTCTCGGCGAAGGAGTTACATGGAATATTGTCACAAGCTGTACCACCCTCTCAGGCCCTAGAGCCTGTGAAGGGAGATATGGAGAATTGAAAGAAAGAAGAAGTGGGAGTTTTGTTTTGTCAATGTACTATTTTTATTTGGGTGGATTAAGTTAGTTTCCCTATCACTTATGGATTTTCTTTTTACCTTGTTTTTGTTTCAACCCGTCCAGTTGGTGGTGACAATACACATTTTTGGGTTGTAGTCTGCCATAAAACCCACAGAAGAAGAAGAAGAAGAAGAAGATGAAGAAGGAAGTTAATAGGAATACTGCTTTTAGATTGTGAAAACGTCTATCATACATGTCAGATTTCAGTACTGGCCGATGTCATAACTCAGGAGGATGTCTTCTCTCGAATGACCCATTAATCCTATTTTTGTGTAATTCCTACTCAAGAAATTTGGAATTGAATGGAAGGTCTAGCACATTTTTCCTATTTGTCTGCCTCTTTAGTCCAGGGTGCATTGCATGGTGAATTTGTCAGAGATATTATAGAAAGGAGATAGGAATCAAATTAATGAAGGAACGTATAACGCCTCACCCAGCAGACTGTCGACCAATCACGTTAACATTGTCAAGAGTCACGCGGTTGCTAAGCTAATGTCATGCAATCCCTTCTCAAAGTCAGTTCAAAACAACTGGGAACTCTGAAAAATACGAGGTAAAATTATGACGTCAGTGTTCTTCAGGTCGGAAAGTCGGAGTTCAAGAAAGTGGCCCGAATTCCGTGTTCAAATCGATTTTTCCTGTTGGAGCTCGTTTTTTTCAGAGTTCCCAGTTGTTTTGAACGCACTGAAGTCAGAGATTTCCCATTTCCCTGTTGTTTTGAAACCGATATATGTAGAGAAACGTGCCTATTTTCCTCGAAAGTACGTAATGTCACGATTCCAAAGATATACGATATTACAGATTGCAAGTTAATTATCTCACATCTCTGAAAATATTTGTAATGTACTTCTTGTTGATAAAATTTGTGCTAATGTTGGGTTTTTGAGCTAGCGCCCAATAGACTCCCATTCACTCCTTGAATGAGAGCACTCCTTGTCCTAGAATTGCTCAGAATGCACCGCGCGGCCCATTGAAGTAACATGGGCAACGTTTCCCATCTCCTCAAAAGTATATTTGCCATTGCGAATGCCAGACTCAACTCTGTGAGACACATTGATCTGCAGGTTGAACATGGTGAGATTGTGGACTCCTAAATTGATAGTGCAGTTTGTTTAGGCGATTTTACAGCGAACTAGCTACTTTACATACTGATATTGTCTTTGGCATTATTGTGTGTAGCTACGTTTGCCAGCCTGCCCATAGAGAGAGCATTGCATTGTGGACTTTGTGGTCGACTTGAGCTGCAGCCATGTTGGGAATCATAAGTAACTTTTTTCAGCTAGTTAGGTATGCTTGCAAAGCAAAGCACAACTGTAGATTTCTTACATAGTCTTATTAGGTGTGCTTGCTGAAGGCAAAGGACAACTCTAGATTTCTTACATACTCATATTATTATTATTATTGGATTTCTTCCGCTCGCTCTAGCGCTTAAATGACTTAAGCTATCAACACGAAACCAACTTCCAAATGTGCAGACTGCCCCAACTTAGATTGCTTGAGAAAATAATTTGTATATTGTTTATACTTTTCGTACTACAACAATATTTAAGTGGCAATAAAAGTGCCATAAACTTACAATGCATTCGGAAAGTATTCAGACCCCTTGATTCTTTCCACATTTTGTTACGTTACAGCCTTATTCTAAAATGGATTAACAAAAAAAATTCCTCATCAATACCCAATAATGCCTGCTTTCCTCCAGACGTGATGCTTGGCATTCAGGCCAAATAGTTCAATCTTGGTTTCATCAGACCAGAGAATCTTGTTTCTCATGGTCTGAGAGTCCTTTAGGTGCCTTTTGGTAAACTCCAAGCGGGCTGTCATGTGCCATTTTACTTAGGAGTGACTTCCATCTGGCCACTCTACCGTAAAGGCCTGATTGGTGGAGTGCTGCAGAGATGGTTGTCCTTCTGGAAGGTTCTCCCATCTCCACAGAGGAACTCTGGAGCTCTGTCAGAGTGGCCATTGGGTTCTTGGTCAGCTCCCTGACCAAGGCCCTTCTCCCCCGATTGCTCGGTTTGGCCGGGCCAGCCAGCTCTAGTAAGAGACTTGGTGATTCCAAACTTCTTCCATTTAAGAATGATGGAGGCCACTGTGTTCTTGGGTACCTTCAATTCTGCAGAAATGTTTTGGTACCCTTCCCCAGATCTGTGCCTTGACACAATCCTGTGTCGGAGCTCTACCGACAATTCCTTCAACGTAATGGCTTGGTTTTTGCTCTGACATGCACTGTTAACTGTGAGACCTTATATAGACCAGTGTGTGCCTTTCCAAATCATGTCCAGTCAATTGAATTTACCACAGGTGGACTCAAATAAAGTTGTAGAAACATCTCAAGGATGATCAATGGAAACAGGATGCACCTGAGCTCAATTTCGAGTCTCATAGCAAAGGTTCTGATTTTGTTTTGTTTTTTGTATAGATTTGCAAAAAAATCTAAAAGATGTGTCGTTATGGGGTATTGTGTGTAATAAAACTGTAATGTAACAAAATGTGGAAAAAGTCAAGGGGTGGGTTGCACCAATCATGGATTAACTCTTAAACTCGGTTAAATCAAGGTTTATCTATTAATGTTGTTGCACCAAATTTTAAACCTAGGTTTTAAAATAATCCTGGTTAAATTAAATCCTTCCTCTAATCTAAATTTAGTTTTCACTTGAAACCTAGATTAATTTTAAGCCTGTTGCTCAATAAAAAAAAAAGAACATAAATTTAGATTGGAGATTAATTCTAAACTGCCACTTGAGGTGGTTTAACTGATACAGTGAGGGAAAAAAGTATTTGATCCCCTGCTGATTTTGTACGTTTGCCCACTGACAAAGAAATGATCAGTCTATAATTTTAATGGTAGGTTTATTTGAACAGTGAGAGACAGAATAACAACAAAAAAATCCAGAAAAACGCATGTCAAAAATGTTATAAATTGATTTGCATTTTAATGAGGGAAATAAGTATTTGACCCCTTCTCAATCAGAAAGATTTCTGGCTCCTAGGTGTTTTTTATACAGGTAACGAGCTGAGATTAGGAGCACACTCTTAAAGGGAGTGCTCCTAATCTCAGCTTGTTACCTGTATAAAAGACACCTGTCCACAGAAGCAATCAATCAATCAGATTCCAAACTCTCCACCAGGCCAAGACCAAAGAGCTCTCCAAGGATGTCAGGGACAAGATTGTAGACCCCTTTGCCAAGCAGCTTGGTGAGAAGGTGACAACAGTTGGTGCGATTATTCGCAAATGGTAGAAACACA